ACCGCGCGTGGTTGCAGCGGCGCGGAGGTACAAGATCACGTCTCGGATCCAGCGTGCTGGACCTCATGCTGTGGCGACCCACGGTCATCAGGTCTACGGTAAGTTTGGAAGCGCGATGGATCTGCAGTGACGCGGGTTAGGTGCAGCGCCGGGAGCAGTTCGTCTAGGCCGATGTGTCACAACCTTGATCGGCATTCGTGCAGCGCATGCCGATCCAGGCCTCGTCCTTCCTCGTCAATGTTTGTCGCAGTGGTTGCAAGTCTGGATCACCGAGCCGTCCATCAGAGCTGGAGCATACAAGGTTTGGCCACGCGTGGTGGCCCAATTTCGTCAGTTGCCCGAAGCTCATCGGTCACGGCACATTCGAGGTCCAGTTTCGACAGTGGTCGCATATCTGCTACAAGTTGGCTGGAATCCGATCTCGCCTTCGGATTGGGAACTGCCGAATGACAGCGAGACAGGGCCTCATTCGTGGATTTTCGACGATGAGGCTCTGCGCGCGCTGGACCAGGCAGATGACCTACTTCGCGAGTTTGAAGATTCAGTGGCGTTCCCGTAGTGGCGAACAGCTGCGAATCTGCATTGCGGCGGCGGCTTGGAAGAGGGTGCCGACATGATCAGTTTGCGGCGCTTCATCGACAACCTGCAATTCGCGCACAAGGGCCGGCAACTTGCCGAACTCATGGTGCCCATTGCTGTAGGAGGAGTTTGGACTAATGCTCGTAAGTATAGCGTTCATATAGGCACGAGTGCGATGTGTGACAGATGTGGCGAGGCCGAGGAGTCAGACGTTCACAGATACTGGTTGTGCACGTACAATAGTGGAGGGCTGGCGTTTGAACGGTCTAGCTATCTCATTCCAGAAGCAGTGGCGGATCACGACGCCCATGCATGTTTCTGGAGCCGAGGCCTCATCCCCGCGTGAGGGAGCAGCGTGCCTAGGGCACGGCACCGACGCGTGTCCCGCGTACGCCTTCGGAAATGCATCTGGAAAGGCCGACACGCATGACGTTCGTTTGAGGCGAGTGGGGCTTGCAGTCTGTGTGATTACCACCATATCTTCTGTGACCCTTAGCTGGAGGGATTCAGACTGCGCCCAAGGGCGAGCTCACGGTCCTGGAGCTTGCTGTTCGGTAACGGCGAGGCATTTTGATCTTTGTCACAGATTGTGAAGAGGTCTGCAGAGGGTGGTGGGCGCAGCTGCATCGGAGACCTACTGGATGTCGTGCAGGGCTTTGGAGGCTCATCGGCAGGCATCTGGAGGAACAGCAGCGGTCGCCTGCCGATATTGTGTTCCTGCAAGTACCTTCACATGTATCACCGCAGGAGGTCTGCTCGAGAAGGTTGCCCAGCTGGATGATCCAGGACAACGAAGCGGTGGACCATCTGGCTGGAGTAGCGGCGCGGCGCGCGTACCAGCAGGTGAACGGCACAGAGTTGCCATGATGGAACGCAAGGCCTTGCATGTGCGGAGGAGGCTTCTGCGAGCAGGTCTTTGCTCCATCCAGTGCGATCTGGAGAGGAAGGCGGCGGCGGCGGCGACCGAGCGGCGCACGGCGAGGGCAGCCTCGCACGGGGCCGAGGCGGGAGGGCATCCCGTTCCCTTGCCCCCACGCCCTCCGCCTCCCGCACCATCTATCGCTGCACGCTTCGCGACATCTCATGTCCTCACAGAAAGCGGGAGAGCCTGTTCGGTGTGTCATGGGTCTGCGACTTTAGCCACAGTGTCCGATTGGCTAAAAAGTGGTTGCAATGAGCTTGTTTCCATGGATGGTAGGGTGTCTCGGGTGAACAGGAGCTGTCGTATGCCATATCGCTGGAGGTTGGGTCAACCCCTCGCATGCCCTAATGTATCACCACAAGCTAGGAATCTGGTACTACAACGTTTGCGGGTTTTTCGGACAATCCCAGCTCACAGGATTAGGATCCGCTTGTCAGCTCCCACTTTCCAAGACTCGTCAGGAGTACCGTCAGAGGATTTGTCGTGACGAGCTTCCTAAGTGCAAGTCGTCTGAGCATCGAGCAATGACTTGAGCGGCGGAGTTTTAATCATTTTCGCTACGCGAAGAGTGTAATGCCTGTAAATCCCTCCCTCCTCTCCCTCGCTCTCCTCCCTCGCTCGCTCCTCGCCCCCTCCCTCCCTCCCTCCCTCCCTCCCTCCCCTCCCTCCTCGCCCTCGCTCCTCCCTCCTGCCTCCCTCCTGCCAGAGGAGGCCGCGCGAGGCACAGGGAGAGAAGGCAGCGCGCGAGAGAGAGGGAGAGAGGGAGAGAGAGAGAGAGACAGAGAGAGAGGAGAGAGAGAGAGGAGAGAGAGAGAGAGAGGGAGAGAAGGAGAGGAAGAGAGAAGGAGAGAGAGAGAGAAGGAGAGAGAGAGAGAAGGAGAGAGAGAGAGAGGGAGGGAGAAACCTAGGGATGGGGACTGCTCCAGGGGGAGACGTCGATCTTGAGTTGGTGATGCATCTCGGATAGATCGGCGGTAGGCCCTTGGTGACGAAACAGTACGGTCATGGGTGGGCTGGGATATCGGGCCCCCATCAACGATGAATCGACGAATGGGAGTCGATGGATTCCCCCCTGAGCATATGCCACCCTGACGTTGCCCCTGAGAGAGAGAGAGAGAAAGAAAAAAAAAAAAAAAAAACAGGCAGGCAGGCAGACAGAGACAGACAGACAGACAGACTGACTGACTGAGAGCCAGACTGACTGACGGACAGACTGACAGAAAGACAGACAGACAGACAGACAGACAGACAGACAGACAGACAGACAGAGGATCAGAACGAGAGACAGAGAGAGAAGAGAGAGTGAGAGACGGAGACATAGAGACAGAGACAGAGGGACAGCGAGACGGGGGGAGAGAGAGAGAGAGAGAGAGGGAGAGACGGAGAGAGACGGAGAGAGACAGAGAGAGACAGAGGGACGGAGAGAGAGGCAGAGACAGAGACCGACAGGCGCCCGTTTCGCTCGCGGGGCCCGGCGGGCGCGGCGGCAGGCGGGCCCGCGCCGCGCACCTGCGAGGCCCGGCGGGCGGGGCGGGCGGGCGCCGGCCTCCGCCCGCCGACAGTCCGAAGGGCCCCCCCCCCCCCCGGGACACACAGAGAGGTGTGCACAGATCCCAGGGCTGTCCTCCTCGCCCCCCCCTCTGCTCCCCCTCCTCCTGCCCTCCCCTGCCTCCCTCTCCTCCTCTTGCTCCTCCTCCACATCCTTCTCCCCCCTCCTGCTCCCTCGTCCACCTCCCCCACCCTTCCTCCACCTCCCACTCGTCCTCCTCCCCCTGCCCCCCCTCGTCTTCATCTTCGTCGTTCTCAGGGTCGGCGGCACTGGCCGTAAGGCCTTCGCGATAAGTAGACACAGATCCCAGGGTTCCCCAGACCTTCCCCTATTCCCTGGATTTTCGTCCTCCCCCCTCACTGCCCCTGTTTTCCCACATCTTCCTGGAGTCGGTGATTCATTGTGTCTGTGTGTGTTGTTCCCCTCCTGGACAGTTACACTTGTGATGTTCCAACCTGCTTTAGCCTCGACCAACAGAAGGAGATCACCAGAAGGAATTTCGTGCACCAAGAGAGTACCGAAACTGGAGGGCTTTCACGTGTCGGGCCCTGGGAGGCGATGCTCCTTGGACATCGTTTCGATATTTCGGTGGGTGCTTAAAATTATTTCGGGGATGTGGTCCTGAAGTACGATGGTGGCATCACAAATTTACACACAGCGGAGGGGATCAGTCACATACGCGTGGATCGTTCAACCTTGAACGATCGGTCGTTCCCGCAGCGTCCAATCGCTCAGCATCGACCGATTCTGGGTCGCCGCCGGCGTTCCACGCTGAACGTCGCCGGCGGGGTCGCCGCCGGGCAACACGACGCGGATCTGCCGCAGCGGGGGGGGATCCGTCTCATGTGACGCAGCACGGCACCTCACTGAAACCATGGTGCTGCAAATCGTGCGGTTGCTTTGCGTCCTCTGTGCTGCGCGAACTGGGCAAGGTGTGCACCCATCGAGTCACACCCACTCGAGCGGAGCTTCTCGGCAGAATTGCTCGTGGTTTGTGGCCTACTGTTTTAAGCGCAGTAGAGAACCAAAGCCGTGGTCGTACATAGTCATTTTTCATGTGTAATTCGTCACGTAGTGTAGGCACTCACTGACTCTGTCATATGGTCATACTCATACCCATACCCGAACTCCTCGGGAGGGAGGGGGAAGGGGGGCAGGGAAGGGGGGGGAGGCAGGGGGCAGGGAGGGGAGGGGGGGAAGGAGGTTGGGAGAGGGGTGTGGGGGGGGGTCGGGGGGGGAGGGGGAAGACGACTTTCTGGAGACCCTGTGTGATCGCATAGGGACAGCTCGGCCTGAACAGCTCCCGCGGAACTTGAACCCCCCGAGGCATCCGCTCCACCCACCTCGCCTGTGGGGAGGACAACTGGGCCAACCTCCCATACATGAGTGTAAGGAACCCCTGGAATGATGGAAAGCCGCAGACGGGGCATCGTCCTTCAGACGAGGGGGGAGATCGGATGCCCCACGTCCCAAAGTCCCCCATGAGCTGGAGGGGGATGCGCAACGGAAGAGCACCACCCTCAGTGGGGCCCCCATCCGTCCGCATCAAACAGCTGCATCATGAATTTCGCCTACGCCCAAAGCCGTATGGGCAGCTGCATAACATCCAAACGCCTCGAGTTAAGCCATCATCTCAGGTGGCGCTGCGCCTCCAGCTGACACCTCAGCGCCCGTAGTCGCGGCACCAACGCCTCCTCTCGACGGGTCCTTGGCGCTCGCCAGCGGGCATGGAGCGAAACCACCAGCAGCACTCTCGTAGATTTGGCGAAAATCGTTCGGGCAATCGGATGCTCTCAATGGTGACACGACGAAGCTGGATGTGAGTCGGACTGCTGAGCCGTCGGGAAAGACAAAGGGTCTCGAACCCAATGGCCTTGAGACACAGTGAACGACGACGACGACGACGACGACGACGACGACGGCGACGGCGGCGGCGGCGGCCCCCAGCGCCTCGACAGCGGGGGCGCCGCTCGCCGGGGGGGCTGCGCCAGGCTCGGCGCTGCTGCCGCGGCTGCCGCTGATCGGCGGCTCCGAAGGGTGTGGCCTGCAGACGGTGTGGCCTGCCAAGGGCACCCTGGGGGGCACCCTGGGAGGCGGGCGGGGACCTCGATAGTGTTCCCCGCCGCGCTCCGAGGACGCCCGACGAGGGCGGCGCCGTGCCCCCCATGCCCCGACGGCGCCGATCGCAAACCACACCCCGGCGTAACCACACCCTTTGTAGTCGCCGAGCTGAGGCTTGGGCTGTAGAAGCGCTCGTGGTCCCGGCCTGGCCTCGCGATGGGCGGCGCTTCCCCTGACACACGGAGAGTACAGGAAGAGAAGACCGTATGATCATCAACGTTCCCGGCTCCGCACGAATGTCTTGGATCGGCGCTGCTGGGGTTCATGGGCGTGTAAGAATCGTGTAAGGTTCATGGGCGATCCCAGGCGTTTTGGCGTTTCTCAAGTGTGCGCATGGGAAGCCAAGCCCGCCCAAAACGACTCCTATTATCATCCAGCGCAGATTTCAAATAGATCAGAAGACTGAAATGAAGTGACTGCAGTGGACTGAAGTAGACTGCACTGGTGTAGACTGGACTGGACAGGGGTGGACTCTACTCCACTCTACCCTACTCTGCTCTACCCTACTCGACCCTACCCTACCCTCACCTAATATACTCTTCTCTCCTCTACTCTACTCTAATCTACTCTTCTCTACTCAGCTCTACTTATGTATGTTGCTCTACTCATATTCGGATACGCATTAATATGGCATCACCTACCCTAATCTACTCTACACTCCTCTGCTCTATTCTACTCGACTAGATTCCATTCGACTCTACTCTACCATCTACCCTACTCTACTCTACTCTACTTGAAGAGAATACCCTATACTCTATTATGATCCACTCTACTCCGGCCTTCTCTACTCTCTGCATTACTCTACTCGACACTGCTCTGGAACAAGTTTAGCATTACTATACTCCTACTCTACTCTACTCTACTCTACAGCACTCGATCCTATTCTACTATAACCTACTATCATGCACTCCGCTCTGTTCTACTCTGCTGCAGTCGACTCTCTACTCTACTCTATGCTATTCCTACTCTGCTCTACCCTACTCTGATCTACCCTGTCGTGCTCTCCTCGACTCTTCTCTATTATACTACCATGCTCTTCTCTGCTCTACTGGTATGCTCGTCTCTACTCTACTCTACTTCTGAGTTTGATGATGATTAGACGATTGTCGGGACGCAATTGGAAAAGCCACAGGAAGCCTTGGCAACAGCTCAGGGGCATAATAGGGGGGCACCTCTGGACCGGATCTCTGTGGATTGAGCCAGGACTCCTGTAGGCCAGCCGCTTCGGAGAACGTCCCCCGGGAGCCCTCCGAGAACCACTCGAGAAGGCACCGGCCCCGAGGGAACGTCCCAGGCCTCTCCTGCAGGCCTCCTCGGCCATCACACGAGCCGCGCAGGAGGAGGAGGAGGAGGAGGAGGAGGAGGAGGAGGAGGAAGAGGAGGAGGAGGAGGAGGAAGAGGAGGAGGAGGAGGAGGAGGAGGAGGTGAGGTGGAGGTGAGGAGGAGGAAGGAGGAGGAGGAGGAGGAGGAGGAGGAGGAGGAGGAGGAGGCGGGGGGGAGCCAAAGGCAATGTGTAAAGTGGAGAGGCGACCGCGCGGTCCGCGCATGGCGGGGCCTCTCGGCCTCCAGTGCCCCGGGGCGGCCAGGCGAGCCCCGAGGCCGGCCCCCGAGGAGGTCCCCAGGAGGAGGATGAAGAGGAGGAGGAGGAGGAGGAGGAGGAGGAGGAGGAGGAGGAGGAGGGAGGAGGAGGAGGAGGAGGAGCCCGAAGGGGGTCGTCGGGGCCCAACAAGCATCCCAAAATGGCCCCCGAGGCCGCCTCCACCCTCCCAGGAAGCCCCCCGAAGCCCCCAGAAGGCCCACGGTAGGCTCCAGAGCGGCCATCCAGGGGCCGTCAGGGGGCCCCAAAGGGGCCTTCCAAGAGACGCCAGGAGGCATCTCAGAAGCCCCCATCTACGACACAGGTGGATCCCCAAGAGACTCCCAGGAATCCTCCAAGGTCTGAGCATAACATACATGCAGATGAGTTCCGTCAGCATGGCCTTCTCGTGTCTTCGAGTCCCCAGGTCTCCACATAACATAAAACTCAATGATTGTCATCAGCATTGTCTTCTCGTGCTTTCGATCTTCCAAGGGGAACTGTGGGTGAGCAGCGACGCACAAATCGTGTGAACAAAATGGCAAGGAAACTACATAAAAAATGTGATGGAAGGAAACTGAGGAACGCATAGGATTGGAACTCTGAGGCAAGGGAGGATTAGGAATCCAATCTACAACAACCACGACAAGCAGGAGGAGGCTGGGTAAAATCAGAACAGGTTGCGAGGATGATCACGAACTGAATAGGAGGATGCGGAGGGAAGAGAAATGTGAAAGGTGAAAAGGCCCCTGGAGCGGGAGAGCCCACTCCAGCGCGACGCCAGGCCGCGGAAGATCCGAACAGCCCTTTTGGGCACAGGTGGTTTAGGGAGTTTCCTCTTCCAACCCCCCGTATTCCCCTTCGGGGAGGGGTTCATCACTGTTCCCTATAAAGATACACCCCCTCCCCCACCAGGCCGGCGGCCAACCCGGAACCATGCCGACTCCATGCGGGCCCGCCCCCCCCATCCCTGTCAATAAACAATACGAACCGCACTCTACCTCCACGTTTGGAGCATGCGCGGCCAACCCGATGCGGCTCCCCCCCCACCATCCCTGTCACAAAACAATGCAAAGTACACTTTTGGGCAAAGTCTTGAGTCATGTTCGTGAGGCCCGCGAGCACTGTGTAGTGTTTTCGACAGGGACGGCGGGGGTGTCAGCATATTCCCTGCTGTGCGCAGGGCTACTATCCCTGACAAAATAGCAATACAACATGCACCTCGCGGCTGAATCTGGATCATGCGCGGCCATTCCGCGATCACTGTCAAGTATTTTTTGACAGGGACGGCGGGGGTGGTGGCGCGTGGCCTGCTGTGCGCAGGCCCACCAGACACAATGATGGGGATTGGTTTTCGACAGGGATAGCGGGGGCCGACATGTTCTCCGATGTGTGCTGTCACGTGTGCAGGCGCACCTGACGCACTCTGCACGTGCCCCGAACGTGGTGCACCTAGCGCGGCTGGAGTGTGCGGTACACCTGGCGCACTTGGAGCACGTGGCGCATCTGTCACACCAGACGTGCCTGGCACGCTCGGGCCCCAGGGGTGCCTGGCGCGCGTGGCGCCCCTGGCACGCGTGGCGCACCTCGCCCAAGCGTCGCGCACCTGGGGTCTGCTTTGGTTCCCAGTAGCTGTCCATCCAAAGACGACCGCTGAACATGCTCAGGCTCGGGTGTTACTTATGTGTTGGGAGGGCGGGTGGGAGTGAGCTAGACGGCTTGCGGGCGGATGGGTAGCTTGACCCCTCCCCCTACCCCCAGACCTCCAAGACGCCCCAAGAGGCCCCCCAGAGGCACCCAAGACGCCCCAACAGGCCTCTGGGAGATGGCAAAACTCATGGATCCTACGACGGTTTTAGCCACATGTTGGCCTCCTTGGGGGGGGGGGAACCCCGACTAAGGAGCCCTCCTCCTTTGATCGATTTCCTCCAAGATCAAAGCTCCCAAGGGTACCCCAAGAGGGCCCCAAGAGGTGAGGCCCCCAAGATGCCACCAATAGGCTCCCCAAAGACCCCCATGACGCCCTAAGAGGCCCCCCAGAGGCACCCAAGACGCCCTAAGAAGCCCCGGCGAGACTGCCAAAATCATTGATTTTACTACGGTGTTGGCCACACTTGAGCCTCATGGGGTCCCAAGGGTGCCCCAAGAGGGCCCCGAGAGGCTCCCAGGAGGCACCACGAGGCCCGTAAGTGCCCCCCCAAGTGCCCCCAGGAAGCCCCCCAGAGGCGACAAGAGCCCCCCCAGAGGCATCCAAGACGCGCCAAGAGACCACCCAAAATCCCCACCCCCCAGCCCCTCCTCCTCCTCCTCCTCCTCCTCCTCCTCCTCCTCCTCCTCCTCCTCCTCCTCCTCCTCCTCCTCCTCCTCCTCCTCCTCCTCCCCCCTCTCCAGAACCCACCCCGCTCCACCCGACCCCTCCAGTCGTCGCCGTCGGTCGTCGTCTGCCAACGGCGAGCGCGGCGGGGGGGGAGAGACCAGAAACCCATTTGCCTCCCCTGCGCCAGGGAGGCGGGGAGGGGGTCAGGGCCCCAACGACCAACGACAAACCACGACAACAACGTCAACGACGGAAAATGACGACGACGACAAAGACGACGATGATAACGACGACGTCGACGACGACGCCGTTGACAAAGACGATGGCGGCGGCAGCGCTGGCCGACGACGACGACGACAACGATAACGAGAACGGCGGCAATGACGACGACGACGACGACGATCATTACGACGACAAACGACAATAACGACGACAAGGACGACGTTGACGACCAACGACGACGACGACAACGACGCAGATTCTGACGACCAACGATGACGACGACGACGACGACGACCAACGACGACGACGACGAAGACGACGACGACGACGACGACGACGACGACGACACTGACGACGACGACGACGAGGACGATGACGACGACGGCGACAAGGCGGCGGCGACGACGACCAACGATGACGACGATGACGACGATAACGACGATAAAGGGGATAACGGGGATTACGATGAAAACGACAACAATGACGGTTGAACGGTTGAACGGGCATGCAGCAGTCCGCTGGACCCCAAACAGGGGCACGGGGCGCCTAGGCGTCCTCGTCGAGAGGCCAGGCTGAGCTAGCCTTGGCCTCACGCTTAGCTCGCCTGCATTCACGGGCCCAATCCACCGCCGATTCGGGCGACACAAAACCGTGCAGGCGAGCAACTCTACAGAGGTCCAGCACGGGGACCTCGACCCCGTACTGGCGGAAGCTGGCGGGCTCCCTCGAAGCCACAGCCACGGGGGCCCCCAGAGGCCCGCCCGACAGACCAGGACCCGCCGAGACGCCACCAAGCGACGGGTCGGACCCCACCAGCTTCCCGTGCAGCCATTCGATATCTGCTTCCTCTAGGCCACTGACGTCAGTGAGCTTGGGGGCAGGCATGAGGGCTGACGGATGCAAGAAGCGCCTCAACCTGGACCGCTGGAATTTGAGCCCGACGTGCCGAGGTCCTAAACAGGCGACCGCTAGGCCTTTTTTCGGGGTCACCCTTTGGCCCACCGAGGCCCCGCAAGACTTGCAAAAACACAAAAC